ACATTGGGTAACTATGTGATAATATGAAAGCCACAGAGTGGAGGTTTGAGTGTACCTGTTGTCGAGCTGCGCTCTGTTCTGCTGCAGTTCTTCAGTCAGAGTGCCTTTGAAGATGGCCTTCAGTGTTTCCAGAGCAGTGTCGGCACAGTTCTCCACATCCAGCTTATGGAGCAGACCAATAACGTTTCCCTCCACCCGGAGCAACCAGGCCGGCAGCAGGCGAGAAGAAACCATCTCCCTCACCGTTTCTACAGCACAGCAAATAACAAATATGAAACGTACATGATGGTATTCAGAGCTAAAACAACCCGTTTTAGTTTTCCTTTTGTCAGTTTAGTCGGTTTTTTGAAAACACTGGTTTACTGACCTCCAATGTGAGAATGTGCAATCTTTTATACATCATTTTGGTATAAATGTATTTCAGTTTAAAATGCTGGATGGACAAATCAAAGCTAAAGACAACACCTTATACTGTGAGAAATTGTGATGAAAAAAGGTCTCTATTTAATGGACTAAATAAATAAGAAATAGAATAATTCTAACAGATTAACTAATAATATATTGTTTTTGCAGCAAGTACGAAAAACACATTACACTCATTACAGAAATAGTTACCTGAGGTGTCACGGAGACCCTGCTGCACTAGAGTAACTCTCTGTGCGATGGTCAAAGCTTTAATGTGAACTTTGTCAGCAAGAACCTTAAAAACAGAAAATAGAAAAGATAGCAAGTTTGAACTGCAATCACAATGTTTGGCAAGAACAATGTAATATCATTTGACTGGATCTGAAGTTACCTGGTAGGCCAGCTTGCGGACATTCTCTTTGATGTCCCGGGTGCGTTTGAGTACTTTGGGGAGGGTGCGAGGGGACATTGCGATGCAGGAAAGAACGGCACGACGCACTTCTGCATTGGTGTCGTTTTCCAGAATCAACATATACGCTAAAAAGTGGAAAAAAGCTGAGCATTAGACGGTTTGAGGGCCAATGACAAAGAGAAAGATTTAAAAACATACATTTCAAATCACAAAAAAACAAAGGACAATTGAAAAATTACTGATTAAACATGTGAATTAAAGACTATATTCTGCATATGTTGTAGTGTATTGTGTCAAATCTAAATAAATCATGCAGGGATAGAAAAAACAAACCATTGATAGTTGGACAGTCTGAATCCTTGGGCTGTTGTAGACGCGTCATGGCCAGAGCAGCCTGAATCCTCACGTTGGGGAACTTGTCAGTGACTCGGACCAGCATGGCTTGGTGGATGCGGTCAAACAGGTCGTCGTCTATCTGGGCATTCTCCGCCATACTGCCCAGCAGCTTGTTGATCAGCTGACACACACGGAAACGCACCGCATGGCTGCTGGCTTTGTGAGACTGGGAAGACAAGGCAACAATTTGGGAGAAGAAGTGGAAAAAGGAAAGTGAGATATAAAAGTGTAGGAGTAAGAAACAGATGGAGGCCAACAGGCAGAGAGGGGAAACAGATGGGACAGGACAACATCTGATTAAGAATAAGCAGAAACATCAATCACAGCAGGGATGCTTTGCAAATGCTTGAAATAAATTCAGAAAGTGTTTTCTAGAAAAAGTTGGGTGAACGTGATACATGTTTTAGTCACAAAGTTAATCACTTGTAATCACTGAAGAAACGGTGTGCATACACTCATGTAACAATGTTTATACCTCCAACAGGAAATTGAAGATGAAACTCAGAAATGGATGATCATCCTCCTCATCTTCTTCTTCCTCTTCCTCCTGCTGCTGCTCCTCCTCCTCTGTTTTTGGTGGGGACAGGAAGCTTGTGGCAAACCTTGCTACGAACTCTATGATGTTTTCAACTGTAGGTTCCCGCTTGTAGACGATCATGGCGTATTTCAGGTAGTGGACAAACTCCTCATGGAACAGGGTCTTGTCCTCCAGCTGGTTGAGGGGATGGAGGATTTAGAGGAAATTACGTAACCAGTTTCAGCAATATCAATGTTTCTGTATATATCATTTAATTTTTGAAGTGAATGAGTAAGGGTTTGACTACCCTACATTCAATAATTCAACATGTTACCCCATTTTCATGTTCCCAAAAAGAATCTAAAACATTTAAATAAAAGACTGAAATAATAACAGTCAATGAGCAACGTTTATCAACAAAGATAATATTGTATCCACATATGGACATACTTGGTAAACACAAAACATAATAGTCATAAATCATGGGGTTTAAAGAAGAAATATATAATAAAACTGGATACAAAAAAACAAGTAGTGTAGAAAAAGTTGAATAGGGAAAGAAGATGTATTTTATAGGAAATAAAAAGACATCTAGCGTACTATATTACTGTCCTTGTGATACAAATAAAACACAAAAGCAGCTTTCAGTTTCTGTGCAACACATATTTGGAACAAACCTCATGAAAACATTTAGTCTAACCTTAGTCTGAATTAAATAAATGTGTGGATTAAATGTTTGTTTTCTTTTATGTAGTTCTATTTGTAATTTTATATTAAAATCTCTCATTGCCCTATTAATTTTGTTCTCCTTTGATTGTTTTCATAGTGTCTTGTGAAACCTTTTACCACATTATTACCCCTACATTACAGCATGGATATAAACTCTGAGTAAGTGTATTCTGTATAAAGATAGAGAGATTAACATTACATTAAGCACCACAGATCACTCACCTTGTTGTAGCGGCTGTTCAGGCTTGCCACCAGCTTTGCTTTGTTATTGTGGCCCTTCTGAGCGCGCTGAAACGCCTCTTTTATGTCCACTTCACTGTCTGTAGTCATCTTTCCTTCACAGAAATCCACAATGAGACAGAATTAGTCCAACAGTCGCTTTAGCTTTCTTCACAACACGGCCGTAACGTTTTAACTTCAGCAGCCCGTTTGTCTCTAGTGTCTCATTAGCTAAAAGCCCCTCCTCGATCACACTAACTATAGGAGAGCAGAAAAACAACGTAACCTGGCTACTTTGTTTCGGGATAAAAGTATCTGGTGACACGTTCAACTATATTTAATCATAACGTTGGAGCTGACGTTATATTATACAATACAATTACACAAATTATGAGAATTAGAAATGTACCTTTCTTTCCGATTTCCTCTTCCAACGCTACCGCCCGTTTTCAAATTCTGCCGTGTGGTCTCGCGAGAACTGAGACGTGACTACTACGCATGACGTAAACAGCGGGTTCAAATGTGTGCCCTGAGTCTTGCCTGGGAGGCTATACCGGTCAGGCTACTTTATGAACTTTTTAAAGCAGCAGCACTTTTTTTTCTGTTATTTTAAAGATTGAATAATCGTTTAGTAAATTGACATGATAAATCACATTAATCTTTCTTGCACGCCATTAAAGAAAAGGCAAATCCTATTACTTCAATGGTTCAAAATGACTTTATTATTACTAATACTGTTGTACATCAATTGGGATGAAATATTTACTGTGATTTTTTATTTTTGCAACGAGTACCTAAAGAAATGAGGGAATGGATTTGAGGTATGGAACATGTATGAATAACCGCTCTGAAATAAATGTTTGCATTGCTTATTCTGCGTACTCCACTGTGAGGCACTTTGGGAGACAACCAAACAAATTGTTGAAAACACTTGTTTTGCTGGATTTTTTGTGAATTGTAATTTCAAGCATTCAAAGAACAAGATAATAATGTGTCCTAATTTTGATTATGGTTAGGGTTAGAGATTCAGATACATTATTCTATCAAAAAAAGCCCACCTCATTATGTTTTATCATAAATTAGATACAACTTGATCACAGTGAAAAAAGCAGCAGAGTTAAAAGATGTATTATATTGAATTCCAATTCGAATCTATATTGTTCTGAAATGAGTGGTTGTGCAGAATGAGTACTTTTGTGTTTTGTACAAGAAGTTGTTTTATCACATATTTTTGGCTCATGAAAGAGAGAGTGGGTGGACTATTGGAGATACTTATACCCCCTGCCTCCAAAAGCATAATCATTATGATATTTTGACATTTTGACCTCTTAGATAATCCTACGCTCACATGCACGCAGGTCCAATGCATGAGCCTGGGTAGGATACCCTCCTGTATCCTATCCTCCACAGCTGCCTGACAGCTGCAGCCCTGGACATCCCAACACCAATGATCTTGTACACTGATGGCCTATATGGGTCAAATGTGGGAAATAATCTATTATCAGATTAGTGCTTGAGTTCTTTCATCTAACAAGCCTTTATGATATACCATAACCTAAACCTAACCCTAATCCTAAACAAACAGTAGGGCCTGTTTTTGTATACTCCTGCGTAAATAAAATATTTAAAAAGTAGCCTGCTAAAAATAATTCCAGGTATACACGGTCAATTGTATTTAACTGAGTAATAATGTAAATCTGGGCATGAAAACAATATTCAAAGATATTCCTTTAAACATGTTCACATCAGATTATCTAAGAAATGTCTTGTATTTGTATGTATAGGTATTTGGAATTTGTTTTTATTGAGATGGTAACTCAATATATTAAATGTAGCCTTGAAGTTGTTGAGTAAAATTAAATGATTACCCTTTCAAATGAAGTGGAGTAGAAGTTTAAAGTAGCATACAATGGAAATGCTCAAGTAAAGTACAAGTAGGCCTACCTCACAATTGTACTTAAGTACAGTAGTCTACTTGAGAAAATGTACATAGCCTATACTTCCCAGTGGTAGTAGCCTAATAGTATAGAAGTACGTTGCCGATGAAAATACCCGCCGTTAAATAAAAGCAGTACGCAGCAGCAGTCACATGTTTATTTTATCTGATTGATGGAGTAAAACCACACAGCAGACCCCCGAGACCCTCCTCCCTCCTCCCGGTGATTGATACAGCAGCGCCGGTAGGGGCGGGGCTCACTGCAGCAGTGCGCCTCTCGAGCTGTCCCCGGTAATGTTCCGTAGGAAACACACGCCCCTCTCCGCCCCTGCCGCGAGACAGGTGGTTGGAATATATGCCTTTTTATTTTCCCTCTTAGAATAAAACGTGTCTGTTGACAGCACGGAAGAGTCGGTCGGCGCGAGCGCGTCCCCGATGGACTTCCAGCGTGTGACCTCCGCGAGCACCGGGCGCACCGAGAGAGGAGGGGGGCAACAACCGAGAGCCCCGCCGATCTACAACCAAATGTTTTCCGGCGAGCTGCTGTTCACGGGAGGGGGTCTACCGACAGAGGAATGAGATGCACAAGTAAAAAGTTGACACGGTTTTGGTGGGAATTTTCATCTGAGGGGAGGGAGCAGGAAGGTTTCTGACTATCCTCCGGTGTGGAAGTTCCCTGGGGGGGGGGGGTTCATTATGGCTTCAGGCGCCGGTAAGGCTGCTCAGCCCCTCGGGCCAGGCTCTTCCGTTAACGGGACTGCGGCAGAGTTCCCGAACATCGAGCAGGAGCTGTACGACTACCAGATGCACAGCAAGATGTGCAAGAAGATCGCTCAGCTCACCAAGGTAAGAGCCTCCGGTGGCACCGGGAGAGTCAGGCTGATGCTGATCTGAGATCTGCCTCACTAGTATCTGCCCATGCCTAGAAACATAGTAAAGCTGCACAGCCAATCGAGAAGGCGACCTTTAATGATCCTGGGATAAATGACATATTACTGGGACACCTACAGAAATCACCCTATACATGGTTATGGAAAGATAATTTGTTTCCATATGGATTACAAAGAAAAAAAATACTATAATTAATAATGTTAATAATACAAATAATAATAGTTACAGGATAATAAGGCTATAGGCATTAGTAATATACATGTAAGTAAATATTGCAGCATACACATTGCCTCAACACCATTAGGCTAGATGTGCACTGCTACAAATCATCAACATCTCTTGGGATAATGATTTGAAACTTGGATCAGGGTTCATTCGTCTTCGTGACTGACACAGTAATCAGACATGAGCGATCCGTCAGAGCTCTAGATGTTGGCTGCAGGTTTTCAGTTCTTGGAGAGCCAAACCTTGCAGCGAGGCAATTAGTAACCTACTGGTGTAGACTAATTAATAGTTGATTTATGGATTATCTTCAACATGCATTGATTTATAATTCATGTCAGATGGTTGAATAATAATAAAATGAAGAGAATTGCACATTTCAAAGATTGCATAAATGCCACAGCCCAAAAGGATGTGTCTTTGTTTGACACACAGATAACAAGGTATCAATGAACAGGGATAAGAGCAGCAACACATCCACATTAAAGAAGCTGTAACCACCACATTCTTTGTAACAAAAATGCATTGACTGGGTTATCCAAACATCTTTTATCGTTATTATAATCATGTCTTTTTAGGCATGAACATCTGCTGTTTACCCTCCACATACAGTGTGAGTGTGCAGGCAGGGATGCTTGACAGCTGCAGCAGCAGGAGCAGTATCTGCTCTTTTCATACAGTAAGCATAGCTATATGGGGATTCTCCCTCTCTCTGGTGAACAATAACGCTTACAGAAGCAGGGCATGACCCATCGCTTGTTGAGCTATGACAATTACTGATGACTGTGCAGTTTGCATCCTGTCCTATGGGTTCACCTCTGCAGCCAATAGGTGTGTGTGTGTGTGTGTGTGTGTGTGTGTGTGTGTGTGTGTGTGTGTGTGTGTGTGTGTGTGTGTGTGTGTGTGTGTGTGTGTGTGTGTGTGTGTGTGTGTGTGTGTGTGTGTGTGTGTGTGTGTGTGTGTGTGTGTGTGTGTGTGTGTGTGTACTAACATCTATAAAAACAATATAGTTTAATCTGCCAATCAGTTTTTAAACTAGTCAATTATTATTTTCGTCTAATCTTTTCATTAACAAATAATCTTTTCTGAAACTGTGTCAGAATAGAGTGAAAAATGTCCTTCACAGTTTCTCCAATTTCAAGGTGATGTCTTAAGATGTCTTGTCAGTCCAAAACCTAAACATGTAAGCCTAACATAATATGAAGCTGAGAAAAGCTCTCATATTTGAGAGACCATTTTTGCATGGAAAATTACCTAATCGAATATCGAATTGATAATTTGTCTGTGTATATAATAGTCGATTTATTTTATTTATTATTTCAGCTGTATTGCATTTGAGCTTGCATGTGTTGTTCATAAAGCTTCTTCTCAGATGCACACAAACAAAGATGACACAGATGAGGGGTCAGCACTAGTGTCTTTGCTTGTTAGGGGGATTTGCCAGCCTCGTCCTTCTACCTCTCCTGCCCTCTGCTCCTTCCATCGCTATGAAAAAGAAGCCTGGACTGATGTCTCTCTCTTGAAACTCTATGCAAGCCCAGCCAGCCCGCTTTAGCTCTCTGATGGCCGCAGTAAAAACAAATCCGAGACCCAGTGCTGATGAAATATAAGAATCATCATATCGGATATTTGGTGTAAGCATTTTGTCAGAGCTTTGGGATGCTGGGCATGTGAGACAAAGTTTATTTGAGTGTTTTGGGGGCGGGGTATGGAGTGGAGAGGAAGCGGGAAATGGGTCAGTGCTGTGGTAACCTTAATATATTTATTAACCCCTGCTCACACACACACACTCATGCACTTTACACACCTCCTCACGTCTGGCTGTCCCTAACTCATCCACTCACCCATCCACAGTTATGCTCAACTTGCACATCTCCCTTCCCCCCCCCCGACTCTCTGCTGAGAGTGAGTCTACCCTGGTTGAATGGGTACTGCTAAAGATAAACCAGCAGCACGTCGGAGTGTGTTTACGCGGCGGAACAAGCCAATGGGAAGAAAGCCGCGCTGACAATGTCAGGCCAGCTGTTGTGAATGTTCACATAAGCTTGTGTGTGAACAGACATGCACACGCTCACTTGAATACACAGAAGAGAGTAGTCTCTTTATGCGACTCACAGAGATCAACGGTAGCATACTAAAGTGTGTGTTTGTGTGCACATATACGACAGCACTTTTGATTGGCAGCTCTAATTCTGTGATTTCCTGTACTTATCTAGCTTACACTGTCTGTCACAATGTTCCCTGCTTTGTAATCCAGCACAGCCAATTCCCTCTTTGATATGTGTGGAGGTATGGGTGAGTGTGTGTGAAGGACTGATGTAAGTGTGCATGCTTGCTTGTCTCTTTGCCTAAGCACTCCTCTGTGCACCAACCATCCACTCCTCATCTCACTCCAGTTTCAAAAAGCCTCATCAAAGGTCTCCTTTACAATGTAGAACCGAATATGAATTTCATGCTTTGCTGACTATGTAGTTGTTGTCAATAAGCACGGGCACCAGCTTGTGAAGATACATGAATAACATTATCGATTGGCAGGATCAATATGGGGATCTCAAGACAGGATTTACAGTAGCAAGTGTCCATACTGAGTGAGCCGCTATGCCAAGTGTCTTGAGAATTTACTCCAAAAGCTCAATCCAAGTGTGACACCTTTTACACTGGAATTTAAAAGAGTGTCTGAACATGGGCTTTAAAAAATGGCAAGGCAATGTCTAATGTCTAAAACAAAGATGCCAACTGATGATCCCTTGCTTCGGCCTTATGCTCCTGCATTAGCGTTTGCCATATATTTGTGTCAGGGAAACAGCCTAACAGCACTACACTGTAATGGCAATTGGGCACATTGGAATATTCTCAACCGTAAAGCAGAGTCATTTGAAAATGAAATGTCAAATCATTTAGGTCAGAATGGAAATAAAAATGGAAATCGATTATTCCATTTAAATTTGAATTTAGACTTAAAGTATGCATCCACAAGTATGTTTTGATTTTAACATTGCATTTACATTTTAAAATTCAAATTACATTTGGAAATTGGCAGCCATAATGCAGAGTTGTTCTATGTCAGCCTTCAATTTATTTAGCAGTTTTAGTTTTAAATGTCCTTAATTTGCTTGGCTTGGTTTTGTGGTTCTGAGGACTCACTGATGGGCTTGTTGTTTAATTTGAGGAAGTTACAAAGTCAAGTTACAAAGTATTTTGTGACTCAATTTTAATTAATCGCATAAGGTTGTAAGGTTGTTGATGGGGATGGTTGCTAAATTGTCCTCTGTCTTTATCTCTCCTGCTAAATGTTCCTCTTATTTTCCTTGCTCTCACACTCAAACTGGCATAAGAGAACATACAAGAACAGCTCTCTCACACACACACACACACTGCCCTCAGAGTTTGTCCTCTATTCGTGTCCCCTTCAGTCTTTTGAGTGATGACCCTTGGTTCACGAGCAAAAATTCAGGCACAGTGACGTTATTGAGTATCTGGTGTGACATACTGTACGAGTGTTATACTGACATGACAGAGAGAGGGGGGTTTGTGATTAGAATCTTGGAAGATGTCAAATCCATCAACGATAGCTGTCGTTGAATTATAAATAATACACCATAGATTAATGGAGATTGACAATGTTGAGACCATGTTAGTGTACGTGTGTGTGGGTCTCTGTAAGAGAGAGGAGGACACACACCCATAAACACACACACACACACACACACACACACACACACACACACACACACACAGAAGGAATGTCCGGCAGTGCTGTGCCAGCTGTGTGCTGCAGACAGAGAGGCGTCTGGGTAAAATATGAGCCTATGTGTCCCCTTCCTTCACCCATAAACATGCACACACAAACACACACATACCTCTGAGGGTGGGTAAGTGAGCCATCGGGGTCAGTAGACGCATACGATGACACTGTAGACATGTCGTAGAGGGTAAAGTGAATAGTAGGGAGAAACGGGCCATATTTCAGGTGTTAGTCACAGACTATATTGAGAGGAGGGGGAGAGATGTCATATGTGACCGGCAGGAGAATCACCGCTTGAAGCCTCAGTGCCTGGACTATATTAACTCACCAGACCTTGGTTACAGTAGATGAACACTATGAACTCTATGTCCTATTTGTGTTTGAGGATGAGTGTGTTTCCATGTCATCTGTGTCAGTGTACTATTTGTTATAAGAAAGCTGCCGGCTCTAAATATTGGCTCCATAATGTCTGTGTTTGTGGAGAAGTGCTGGTGTCAGTTTTCCAGCTGTTTGCGAGTTAGATTAATAAAGAGGAAACAACCCCGCAGAGTCAATCATCTGAATCCACGAGGATGTAAACTGTAACAAGGTCGAATTATACTGAGGATTGTTTTGCAAAGAACATTTAGTTAAGAAAGTAACATTAAAATACATCAACAAACAATGACATACTGTACATTTATATCCTGTTAGTGATGTAAAAGGTAAAGGAATTTGAAACCTTGAATAGAATCTGAAATATAGTCCATAAACAGAAGTGTTTTATACTCAATGTGTGCTTACAAATCAAATGAGGCTCATTTTTATCTTTTCTTATCAAAGAGGAAACATCTTAAATCTTTCAATGTCAGCTTAAACTCAACAATGACTGGCGGTTTCAGCTTTAAATTATTCTGCTGTTAGTTCCAAAAATAGAGACAACTCTTCAAGAAAGCCCTTCTTCCTCAAGCTCTTGACCTGAGGGACAGAAAACCAGAACATCGTTCAGCTACTGTTAAAAACAAAGAAGAAAATATTAATGCAGAAAGCCTGAATGGCCTAAAAATACTTCCTCATTAACCAAAAATACAAAAGAGCATTTAATAAACATGGACATCTTTGATGGACAATTCCAGGGGCATGTAGGAGGCATAACAGTATGAGACACGAACATATTCACGTGAGTCAAGGGAGGTGGTGCCGACCTGTTCCTCAAAGAAAAAGACTGACATATCCCTCAAAGATGAGTTCAAAATATATATTTGGTTAGAATTTTGCACAACTGTGTCATATTTCCTTGTGTGTTCTTGATGCTCTCCAGGTGATTTATTCTCTGAACATGAGGAATGAGGAGCAGGAGGCGGCCTTGCTGACCTTGAGCCACGCCCACCACGAGGAGCTGCACCGCATCCTGGTGGAGACATGTCACGAAGGGGAGGGGTCGCTGCTGAGGACACGCCTCCTCGAGCTGCAGGACTCCCTGCATGAGCAGCAGAGAGCAGGAGCCCAGGTGTGTGTGTGTGTGTGTGTGTGTGTGTGTGTGTGTGTGTGTGTGTGTGTGTGTGTGTGTGTGTGTGTGTGTGTGTGTGTGTGTGTGTGTGTGTGTGTGTGTGTGTGTGTGTGTGTGTGTGTGTGTGTGTGTGTGTGTGCACTTTTACCCTCTTGATCAGGTGATAAACAGACCTCCCTCAAGGTCACGTTGTATAGCCTGCGACTTTACCCGGCCATTGACCTCATCCCTAATTGACATGCCTCGCACCACAATAAAACATTAACATGAATCATAAATACCCACATGAGTTTCTTATGAGCTCTTTGGAAACAGAATCCATCTAAACAATTAAAGAGATAAAAAATGAATACCTACCATTTAAAATACATTTTGAAGAGTGAAGCCACGGTTTGATTGTAGAAAACTGCCGGGAAATAAATCCCTGTATGGAAAATATTTGAATGACTGCACTCTTTGGGCTCTGTTTTTTTTAATTTGGTGACCAATCACAACCCTGGTGCAGTGCAGCCTGGGTTATGGGCTAGAAGAAGATGAATACATTGGTAGTAGGAGGAATACATTATTATAGTTGGAGCAGGCCATAGTACAACTAATGCAACAACTATAACAATGCAATACAGATAACACCGCGTTGAAGTCTTATGCTGTGTCCCCAGAAAGTATTGGAAAGTATCAGATCTGTGAAATTCATACTTCACCAGTCCGTTTCTTTGAATATATAACATAACGTCGTAAAACTGCAGGCAGCCATTATATTTATATACAGTGTTACAGTTAGTGACCATGGTATTAGCATACTACCACAATCCTCCAGAGAAAGTATTAGACTTCGGTCATATCTTTTCGTAAAGCTTTCCTGATAATTACCTTCTACGAATAGTTTACCTGCAAAGTTTTCACTGCATATTATAACTAACGAATGCTAGTTAGGTGAAAAGCTGAATAAAGGTTTTGATCTAATCTACAGTGCAAGCAGGGAATAATGTTTTGCTACTCACTGAGTATGTCAACAGTGTAGCTGATAAACCTTGGTGGCTTCAATCTTGCCTTTTAAAAACAAGTTGTTTCCTATTTCCACTGTTCATTTAAGTGGTTCGAGCAGTTCCTGCAGATCTCATTGAGATTAAATGGTACACCTTTTTTTGCATTGTAAATGTACCACCAACAAAAATATTTGAACTGTAAGATGTTGTCAGCATTTATGGTGTCATCCTGTTAAGCCCCGAGTCTGTTTTTCAGGTCTCAGGCTCGAAAATGACATTCCCAGAACAAATGACCATATCTTCCCTTCTAAAAGGGTTAAATTAATAATCTTTTTTCTCAAAGCAAGGTTACAGTGAGTTGGATGTAGAAGTGTCAGAATCAATAAGTAAATTCAGATTGAATACAGTAAAAACATGTAACTTATTGTGTCCGTCCCAAAAATGACTTAAAGTGAAAACCACCCTTCAATGAATGGATGGTAGACTAAAAGCTTTAGGAATCCAAACTATAACATATAATAAGTACCCTGTATCAAGATTGATGCAAAACAAGTTAAATTTGACCTTTTTAGAGAGATTTAGCAAAAAAACAACACTTCTGGGGTCATTTGGGTGGATTTTCCATATCTCTGGCCCCCCTTGGTCGATTTTGAACTCCCACATACTCCTTATTTGGTAATGTGTGTGTGTGTGAGAGTCACGCATAGCCAAAACCGGAAGCTGCATAACTCTGGTGGCTACCATTAGCAGCTAACTTTTACTCTCCGATTTTTACATAAAAATGGAATTATGGATTATAAATGAAATAATTTTTTTATACAGAGACGTTAAAAACCTGTGGATTAACGGATTCAGCCGCGTTTTTTCTCGTTTTAATGCCATTGAACACGTCTTTTGATCAGATTGACAGCTACGGTGAGACGATCTCCCGTAAAAGCTCCGTAAAGGTACGTGTTGTGATGTCTGAGTTTACTTCCCCTGTCGCGAGTTTGGATCGCTCAGTGATGATACTATATACCTAAATAATCTGTGGAACCTCAGCTTTAATCGGATATCTTGTATGTGCAGCTACGATAAGTAATAAGGGTACTTTTATCTTGAGTTCTGTGCCAAAGTGCGTTAGCATTTTTCGCTCAGGGGTCATTTAGATGCTTCTTATGAGACTTGTGTTTTGTTTTGGTAAAAATTGTTTGTATCGTCAGTTAGCTGAGATTATTCCCGTTAATCTGGTATAACACATTAATAGGTTCTTAAATATTAAGAT